AGCCAGGGAAGGTAAAAAAGCAAAAGCATCTTGCCTGCATCACAAATTCAAATTTTTGCATTTGAGGGCTTCTCAACTTAACATCTGCTCATGAATGCAAAAGTGGCAGCCGTTATTGAGGTCACCTGGCAATGCAGGCGGACCAGCTTGGAGAAGGGCAGCCAGACATACGGTGGCTTATTAGGAGCCAAGATACCTCAGGAAGGTGGTGAGGTCAAGACACAAAGTCCAAGTAAAGGACTGTCCTTGTCATCAGCTGAAATGCCCCAAACTGTGGGATGGCCTCCAGCGACCAGTATAAAAGGCCACTAAGAGAACAGCACACCATTTACTTCTTCCTGGAACAGGGAGGACACACAATTGTGCTTGTCCATACAACGCTCTACCCTTGTGTGAGAACCTGGACTGCAGTTTCGTAGGGGGACCATATCGTATTTCATTCTGCTTGGCTTATAGCAGTGCCTGGCACATAGTAGATTCTCAACAAATGCTCAAAGAAATAAACTGAGTTGTGGCAGTCCCCTTCCCCACTAATGGGCAGAGAGCCCCTTTACCACCAGCCCCTCCCCCACTCTACTACAAGGGACCCAAGCAAGCTTGTCGTCTTGTAATGGAATGTTTCAGGTCTTCTCAAAACAAATTAAGTATAACATTCCAGCTAGGCCACCTCTACTGCAATAAGCAAAGTCTGCTAAGTTATGAATCAATTTTAGAAGGTGCTTCTGAAATATTTAGAAGGCTCAAAAGAACCTTATAGTTTCTAACTTGCATAGCAAACTTCCCCCTTTGTTCCCTGTTCCCTGACCTTCATCAACAGGCTAACCTGAAAAGCATGACAGAGTTCTGGTTCTTAAGAAGAATTTTTTAAATAATGATTTGCTCTCAGAGAGAGAGAGAGAGAAAGAGGAAAAAAAAAAAAAAAAACCTCACTATTTAGATCTTTAGAAAGCCACCAACAGGCAAAGATGTATGCAGAGCTGAAGCGCTTTAGCAAAACCTGAAAAACACTTCACTGTGGTGGGAGCCATTTTAGGTCTAAGACAATGTACTGGCGAGATGAGGTGAGACAGACTGTTCCACCATTTTGCCTTTAGAAAAAATTCAATGGCTATCTCAATATTTTGCCATGGGTTTAAATTCTGGAATTCTTATGAAAAACAAAGCAAGAGGCTTCCCAGAAATTTCTCTGCTCTGAGAGGTCTTTCTTCTGCGGATTTCTTGGGTTGACACTGAATCTGTGCCAGAATTTCATCACCACCTAGGACTGCTATGCACTTCTGAGGCAGTTTCAGGGTTGTGACTGGGTCAAAGGCAATGACCCCACTAGTACCAGACTCTGGAAGTTCGACTGGCTAAAACCAGTCACAGGAACCTGGGCCAGTCTCTTACTGTGGGAAGCTTACCTAAGGAAGTCTCAGCCCTTGAAGCTGTCAGATCTGGCTCTGAAACAGCAACATTTACACAAAAAGGAAAGTTTGAAGGCTGGGCATGAACACTCCTCTGTCTGGTAATGCCCCATGTCAGATCTTCACCTGACTAGACCTTCTCAGCACACAGATCTCCACTTAAATGCCACATCCTCAGAAAGTTCTGATCAACCATTCTAAAGTGGCTCTCCTCCCTGGAACCACATAACCCTCACTTTTTATTTTTTTTAATTTAAATATGTTTTTTAGAGAAAGGGTCTTGCTTTGTTGCCCAGGCTGGAGTGCAGTAGTGTGATTCTAGCCCACTGCAACCTAAAACTCCTGGGCGCAAGTAATCTTCCTACCTCAGCCTCCCAAATAGCTAGGACTATGAGTACACACCAGCCATCATGTCCAGTAAATTTTCAAAATTTTTTGTGGAGGCAGGGTCTTGCTATGTTGCCCAGGCTGGTCTCAAACTCCTGGCCTCAAGCAATCCTCCTGTCTTGGCCTCGCAAAGTGTTGGGCTTACACACATGAGCCACCGTGGCTGGCCCACTTTCATTTTTAAATTTTTAAATTTTCTGTGTGCATTTGTCTTCTTTACTTATTTAGATCTATATTTTTGCTTATTCCCTTCCCTGCCAGTCCCCTCTCAGCCTCTGGAATATGCCTGGAATGTAGTAGATGCTCAATAAATGTGTTGACTGTTTATTTACCAAGAGAGCTGTTAAGAACAGCATTTCCCCTGGAAAGGAGCTGTTAGAATGAACCCCATGTTACCAAGAACTCAAAGACTTAGCATGACTTAGTACTAAAGAAAAAGTGCTGGATTTCTTTCTAGATTCTTCTCACATAACAGTGAAGAGGCTGTAAGTCATGGTCTGATTACCAGTCCATCTCCAGGGGATCCATGGAAATGGATGAGGTAGATCAATACTACTCTAGTATTATAGCAAGAGATGCAATCTTGGTATTCCACAGCATTAAAGTTTGGAAAAACATCTACTCTCCAAAGGAAAAAAAAGGGTTGATTTATAGTATTTTATACTATAAATCATTCCAGCAGAAAACCACATATTTGCCCATTTTTGTTTTGGTGAGAACAGGGCAATTGTTTGTACAGTCTTCCTGTCACACCTGCTCTGGCCTGCCCAGTATAAACAACATAGCCAAAAAGTGTAAATGGATTCAGGATAGCTTTTCAAACAATGAGATGGGGTAAGTGCCATCCTCTATAATCGTCAAGAAGCATTTTCAGCTAATCTTGGAAATTCAGTAATAATTGTAACTGGGTAAGTTTAGAAAACCTTTGTGCCTTGTCAACATTGCTATGACATATGAAGGTAAAGTATTAAGGTGAAACACAACAAAGTAATGTATAGTAATTATTCTTCTAGTCACTGGTCTATTTATTAGAATAATGATGGTACAATACACTACCCAATAATCTTATTTGGCTTTCTAGCTCCTTGAATTGGGTTTAAAATTCTTTTAGGCAAGACCAAGAGCAACATAAGTGAATAATGCCACAAAAAAACACCCCATTAAGTATGAAAATTTATAAGATGACGCAACCAAGCTTGAGTTACAAACAAAAGAATTGACATTCTATAAAGAAGAAATACACTGTTGAATCTATCAGGCATTCATTTTAATGGTAAAACAATTGCATTGCATCCATCTAATCTTGTAATTAAGATTCAAATAGGTGCAAAATGATTACTTTGTACTGGCCTATCAAAATAGAAGACATGTAGTTGTAATCTTTCTGAATAGCAGTAGTGTTTTAATTATAAATGCCTGGCTCATTATTTGCTCAAGAGCGAATGACAATTAGCTTGATCCTATTGCAACTGTTAAATGCTGTTGTTACTAAAAAAACAGGCAATACTGAGTCAGGTTTCTGATATTTCCCTTCGGTTGACAATCTTCTGATTGATACTGTACTCAAAATGTACTTAGTCATTTAAAGTCACAGGCAAGAAGGAAAATGGCTCCCAACAGTCAAAAAAAAAAAAAAAAAAAAAAAGGTGTTGCAGGAAGGGTATTTCATGGCAAGCCTGGAGAACAAAATCAGTATGAGATGAGTCACGTTCTAAAATAATTGAACCAGAGAAAGACTCCAAGCAAAATATTTTAGTTGGCCACAAAATAACACAACAACAACCACTACCACCATTCAGCCCATTAGAGGTTCAATTCTACGATAGTGCTATGGAATAGAATATTAGATAAACTGTTAGAATAAAGCAGCCATTTACACAGATGGTTCTGAATCTCAGTGTTCTTCACATCCAAGCAAACCTCGTGGAGGTTTCGGGTTTAGCACCATCTTCCTACCACCCCTATAGAGATATTTCCACAAAGGTTCCGGGTGCACTTGTCATTGGAGGGGTAGGCTTGGGTTTGGGTCCTTTTCTACTGAGAGCTCTGAGGTTACCAACGGAGGAATCAGGGAAAGCAAGAGCACAAGCATTTTCTGATTCTCAGAATTTCTGAAATATCTTTTGTTTCAGTGGCGCTGGTGAACTTGTGATAATGAAACTATACCTCTGTACACAAACCTTGACCTGCATTCTGGAGCATATTGCAAAGAACACCTTAATTTTGAAAGTACTGAACACAAAGGAGGGGGAGAAAAGCTGACACTGTGCAAGCTTTCTCTATATGTTTAGAAACATGGCTTAATTTTTAAGGCTTGAAGACCGCATTTAAAAATATCTAAAACCAATTCAGATTCTATATGAGAGGAAAAATAACTGTAAATTTTTCATTAAACATTTGTTTCCTTTTTAAAGACATTCTTTTGCATATCTGTTATTGCATGTTGAAATACGATTTGGTTACCAAGGAAACAGGTTCTGGCCCAGTGTTAGATTTGAAACTAAAATATATTTGAGAAGTTAAGCCCAAAGGAAAGAGCTCATGAAATCATTTTGAAAAGTGCCCGAACCACAGCTATATGGTCTGCAATGAACCATTCGAGGGGCTCGGTTTCATTTAGTGAAGCTCTATTTCTTTTAAGAGGGCCATCTATATTTAATATTTCCCTCTTTAAAAACTGTAACTCCTCATCCTCCCAAATTATATACATAATATAGTATATCCTTGTATATTACCTAAAATTAATTTTGGAAGCATATCATGTTTTTATTTTCATCTTCTCATATAACACGTTTAAAGACCGCTTCTTAAAATTTAAATATTTTAAATGTTTCTTATTAAGCTTGTTTACGCTCTTTGAAATCATCTCCAGAAACCCATTTATTTTTAGTTTCAAGCTAAAATGGAGCTGAATCATCACTCTTTTCAAAAAATTCTTTTGTTGTCTAATGGTACCACACCTATCATATATATGATTTAAAAAAAAAATCTCCCTTTTATGGCAGAATCATTTAATAAGTTCATAAAATCTATACATTTTTATACTATCTGAATAGCAGAGGCTATCCAATTAAAAACCCTCTCCCAAAAGATTACAACTGTCTTATTTAATTTTTGTTTTTTTAAAAGTCACATTTCAATGCATCTAATGTTCTTGCTGCATGGCTCAAAAAAAAACCCTATAAAAACATGCAAATTTCAACCTACCTGTATGTATCACTTAATGCAGTGCTAGCATGACAAGACACTCAGCCATTTTTATGTAAAGCGATGGAGACCAACTGATTTCTCTGTCTTCTTGCTCACAAGTTTTAGATGCAATTGCCACATACACACAAAAATCATACGCAGAACAGCTTGAATGAACTGTGATCACAGAACTGAATTTATCAACAGGAAAACAGGATTGAAAAAAGAAGTTTCTCATCCAAGGTTTCTCTGAGACTGCAACCAAGGAGGTGGTGTGTTGAATTTTTTTCCCCTTCCTCCTCTGAGAGTTCAAAGCTCGGAGCTGACCACTGCAAAGGCCACTGTCACATTTGCTGAAAATCAAACCACTGATACCAGCATTGAAAATACAAATTTGAGAACCCAAGTTGCTTGCACACGATGGAGTGCATAAGAGTTAAAAATAGAATCCACCTTGCCTCCTACCTGCATAATAAACATGTAAGTTTCAAGTGTTTAATTTGATATTCACATTAATTAACAATATAACATACATTATTTAAAAGACAGCAAATGCATGAAGAAAGGAGAGACACCATCTGGTAGCAGAGTTTTGTTGTTGTTGTTTTTGTTTTTAGGGTTTTGTGGGGGGATTTTGGTTTTGTTAAAAAAAAAAAAGGTAAAATCATATTTTAGATGTGATGAAAAGCAAACATCCAGAAGCAAATGAATTGGAAATGAAAGGTGATGTTGAAATATCTAAGGCTGTAATGAGGCAAAAACAAGTCTTCGCTACCAGATGATATGGCATACAGAGCATTTACATACTCACATCTGAAATACTAGGCAACGTGTAATGAATTCTAGACACAGCATGCATACACAGCACAAGCACGGCTAATCCTGCCTGCCATCTTAGGCTCGCAGAAGCAAGATACGCACTGCATGCAGCACACGAGCACTGGGGAAGGAGGAGGCAAGGGACAGCTCACCTTAAATGCAGTATCTGATTAATGTTGTAAGTGACATTGCATATCAGCCTCAGAGTCTTGGTTCAACTGGGTAGGAGGGAACAAAGAAAAATGTCATCAACTGGTGATGCAAGATGAGCCCAATCACTAAACACTGTTTAGCAAACTCCAAATTCTGCAACCAGACAGAAGGCATTTCATACACTTAAGCAGAGCTGCTCCACAATGAATGTGTCCTTCTGCTTCTGAGAATCAAACAGTCCTTTTGCTAAGGAAGAAAATAAGCTGGAAAGAACGCTCTCATATTCTCTTCTTGAAGAAAGCTTTCAATACAGTATGTATCTGGTCTGGGATGCATTTTATAGATTGTTAATTTTATAGAATTGCTAAGAAAACACCAAAACTGTTAAGCTCTTGCAAAGTAAAGAATAATGCTGATAAAGGGTATAGCATTTCTAGATTATTTTTCAAAATCCTGAATGGTGCCGGCAGGCTTGTAGGAGAATTGCATGATCAGCTGTCTGTATCTGTGCTATAACCTTTAACCACAAGCCGTGTAAATGTATCCTGCTAAATGTATCTGCAGTACGGAGCGGCAGATACCGCCTCAGAATTTTATTAAAATGTGAATGAATTTTTTTAAACTTGGAAGCAGAATAAAATCAGAACAGAAAAATAAATTGATGCTGAGTTCCTATGGCTGCATAGCTGACCATCATGAACGATAAAAGCTATCCTTAGGATACTGACCTAAATAATACTAAGACTTACAGCAGCATACTGTATGCGTTCAGAACATAGAAAAAGCACAATGATTTTTCTTCTCCCTCCCCCTCCAAAAGCTAAATTTTAAAGTAACAAGCCATTAATAAGAATACCAAAAGGCTATAGATAGTACATACTGTAAGAGAAGAAATCGTATTGTGCTGAGTTGCAATGTTTCTTTGTTTTACTTTGAGGCTTATTTTAGCTACGCTTGCATGATGACATTGACATCAGGAGGTCAGTGCTGACACTGGGTTGCTATCCATTTTATGAGTGAAATGTTTTCCAAAAATTAAATCACATCTACTCAAACACCAAATTTCATGTCGTCTTCAATACCACCTCCCTACCCCCATGGCTTAAGATTGATGGGATCTAGTTTGGCCGTATGTAATAAATTGGAATCATCTTCTGCAGATACTCCAATACATCATGGTGAGGAATTAATTTTTTAAATAAAAAACCTTCAGGAATTCTTATGCACCCCCTTTCATTCCTTCCTATCAACACACACACACACACACACACACACACACACACACACACACACACACTCTGTCTCTCTCTCTCTCTCAAAGCTCAAATTGCAATGAAATGTTTAACATGTGGAACAAAACTGTTGAAAGAGCTGCTTATTCAGGATTTTTAAGAAATGCCTAATAAGCAAATACTGTTTTGCTACAAAACCGGTGTCACCATGTCCCCAAAGAGGAAAACAGCATAGCTTGCTAGCAAAATTTCCTCCAGATCCTGCCGGCAGGTGAAAAAACAAAAAAGCATTTTATTTGCCATGCAGTATAAAACAAGAAGTCTTTTATTTTTAAGGAATAGAACAGATTCTTTTCCACTCTATTTCTTTAGCTACAAAGAAACCATACCCACCCCCACCCTTAGATCCTGGACATAAGCCAACATTTTTATAAAATGGTGAGACTGACTTTGAATATATAATATTTATAGTTTTCTTCTTCTTGTCTCTCCAAACGTCTTTAATTGCCTATTGCATCACTGAATATGCTGTTGTTAATTTTAACACGTGCAAAAATGAATTCATATTTTTTGGGGTGGCTAGTTTTCCAGCGCCTCAATTTTCTGTAAGGACTAGCTGAAAACAATCAGGTTAGCAACACATTGAAGTTCCCCAGAATTTTTTTAAAAGAGAAAATATGTTCAAACACCTTAGCTGAGGTACTAGGTTTCACAACTGGATCTTTTGTTTCTACCTCTCATTTTATCACCTGCCCCAGAGCACAAGTGATTTTTAGCTTAATGTGTGGAATGTAAACTGCCCTCCTACAGCCCATACACTTTAAAGTCTCTGAGTTGAGTTGTCCAGATGGTGGGTCATACCTGAACCATAACGAGAGTCCTCTTCTCTTTGGAGCACATCTCTCTCCCACAACTACTCCAGAAATAAATGTGGCTCTAACGAAAACAGTAGCTCCTGGTCTCACACCAATGGTGGAACCATCTTCCCCACCCCCACATCATTGCTCTATGAGCTCTGGTTAGCATTGACGGCGTCAGAAAATTAGAATGGAGTGTCCTTAGGCCAATTCCTCCTTTACCGTGGGGGTTGAGAATTAGAGAGATGATCACGCTCAGTTATAAGGCACCAATTTAATATATGGTCATCCGTAAAGCAGAATCATTAGAGTGGGGTGGGAGGAGGTTGAGGTGAACACCTAGGCACGGAGTATCTCTATTGAGATATTTTCCATTAATGACATTTGAAAGCTAGATATTCATTTAAAAATACTTGCAAATTATTATCATGTAGGCTAAATATACACATTATGGAATCAACCCTGACCACGTAGAACTAAGTCATCTGCCTCCTCTGTCGGGAATAATAAATGACAGTGACAACGACAGTAATCCACATTAGGCTCTCAGGAGATGAGTAAATAGCTTATATTCCCTTTACAGAAAGAGTGGTGAATGTGGTCAGCTCCCCTACAGGTACTTGTAAGCCAGATGCCAGGGCAAACAGTTTCCAACCCCCCTGTAGGGTTCTCTGTCCACTCTCTGTCAAAACGAGCGTAAAAGCCACGTATTGGTTTATTTTGTGATGTTCCAAGACACTATCAGTAAACGTGGTACGTTTACCAGACCTGCTAGGGTTAAACAAATGTGAACTATAGTTAAAATATTCAGAGCAACGAGGTTGTTTAGGCAGACATTCTCAACTAGTAAATCCTGTTTTATACTTTCAGAAAACCGTGCTCATGCCTGAATTACTTAAGCTTTGTCAGGATTACTAGTGGCAAGGGTATGCATTCACTTATGATTTTTAAAAATTGTGTGCTTCTCATCAGTCTCCTCGGGGCATGTGCACAAACATTAATTTAAAAGGCAAATCCCTTTTCCACAGTGAACATTTTAGCCTGTTTCTGCCACTTTGACGAGTCAAACACGAGGAACCCAAAATAATCTGGCAGGCACAGGCTGGAGAAGGACAGAGCTAGAAGTGAGGGGTGAGCCTTTCACTTTGATTAACGTGCTTACTTGCTCACGGTCTCGTTGTTCTGCAGGCTGAGCTAATTTTCTTTGCAGTCCTGTGGGTTAAAGTTAAATTGCATGGCTAATGCAATGTACATAATTCAAGTATGAACAAAGCTTGACTCTCTATGTCTTAAAAAAAAAAACATAAAGTCAGGGCACTGAGTCCCAGAGGAATACTTGGTTTATAAACATTTGGATCGGTTTGCATGTTCCTTTATGTCATTCACCACATTAAACATTACAGCTGGGTTCTTTTTACACCTAATAGAGACAGTCAACATTTGTGGGTACATTGTTATCAAGTTAGGCTATTCTAATTGAAAAAATAAAAATAAAAGTGTTTACCAAATACACTTTTGTTTAAATTCTTAGTATTTAAAAAGTTTAAGTTTTTTTTTTTTATGAGGTTGGTTATTACCTGTCTATAGCATATTTAGTCCTGGAAACAACATGGTGACTTAATTTACCAATGACCAAAAATGCCTTTGGATTTTTGAGAAAGTTCAATGCTACTTTGAACATCTCTATCTTGCCTAGAGACATGGGCAGGAACTTCTGCCTTACATATTGATCAGAGCTAAAAGGTCTATACTAGCTACCCTTATGGAGAACCTATCATATACTCAATATTTTAGCTACAGGTCCAATGTTTATTTCATTCTAACCCAATAATCCTGCAAACTGAGTATCATTGATTTTAGGTGAGGAACTAATAAAGATTACACACAGAAAATAGCAGACTTAGGATTCAAAGCTAAGTTTGCTTGATTGCAAAGTCTACATCTTTCCACCAATCCTAAGAGGCTAAAACTTCCTCCTATGGCCATACTCCAACCCTGATGTCAGTAATCTTCTTATTATGCAGACACCTGGTAGAGGACGTTGTCTCCCTGGAGTCCTGACTATCTCTGTTTATATGAATCAACCTCTACCCTCCAGGCCCTGGGAATTGTGGGAACCTGGAATGACAGCAGCTGGAGACAGGCTGTGCCTAGCAGGTGGAAAAGACACAATGAAAGGGGCGGAATCAGCTGGACCATGTAGGAAAGTTAAGTGTAGGAAGCAGAGTAAATATTTTAGTGGGAGATTTGTGATAATTCAAAAAATGTTTTATGAGGCAAAACAGGTGTCATAAATAGATTTCAGATGGAATGTATTTATTAAAAACCTTGTAAAGTCTAGTTTTTTCCCTCTCACAGGTGACCAAACAGGCTGAGAGAGATCCAGTAATTTGCCCAAGATCACACACTTCATAAGTGAGTTTATTATTAATGCAGCCTTTCACTATATTAAAAATTATAGTCAGTTTCTTTTTACACCCAATATATTCAGCATTTTTGAATAAATTTGTTATCAGGTTGTTAGACTGTTCTACTCTAAATGATCAATTAAAGAAAAATCAGTGTAACAATCAGACTAGCCTGTTCTCTTCAGTTTGTTTGGTTTGGGGTTTTTTTTTGAGATGGAGTCTCGCTATGTTGCCCAGGTGGGACTTGAACCCTCAGTGGATCCTCCTGCCTCAGCCTCCTGAGTAGCTAGGATTATAGACGCATAATACTGTGCCCAGCTGAAACTGACCTGCTTTCAACTCACAAACAGTATTTTTCTCCTGAACAGATAAGCTAAGTAGCTGTTATGATATTTTTTCCAACATATTTTTTTAAATGAACTTTTAAAAAGCCTAATTTTGAAGTAAGAAATTTTGCTCAACCAAATTTACTGTTTTATTTTATCATTAAAATGACTAAAATACTAAAATCATTTTAATGACTCTGTTAACATCTGTTCATTTTGCCCCTGTCCCAGGTCACTTCCAGTTCTGAAAGTTTGTGATTCTAAAAAAATCTAGCCCAGCTTGTTTTCTAGGTCATATAGGCCAACAGCTGGACTCTAAGACTCCTGCCTTCTGATGTATGTGGCCAGCTGACTATACTGCTTCATTGGCAGTAACTGTATATGCCAACAAGATGGCTCTCAAAGGCGGCTTTCTAATCCACCAGTTCCACCCCACCTGGGAATAGGAGAGGAAGACTATCTTTTGCTCGGTGCTCATGGGCAGTAGAATGAAGGGTTGGGTGAATGACATGCTTGAGGAGTCTGAACTTCAGGATGCCTTCTCCAGTTCTTAGACACAAGCTTCCTCAGGTCCAGCCATTAGGATCTGTGTAGGATGTGAGAAACAAGTACACGCTGTTGGCAAGCACTGGACAGCAAGCCTTGTGGACCAAACTGGGGTTACCCTCCAGGAAAGAGCTGGAAGGAAAAGGGAACTGTAAACCATGTTTTTTTTTTGTTTTTTTTTTTGTTTTTTTTTTAACAAAGGAAAAGTGGCAAATGACATAGGCTGCAAGGGAGACTGTGGTGGACAACATCTCAACCCATCTTAACCCAACTCAGATCCTCCTGTGGGATCATCCTCAACAGGTGTCATGACCATTATGGAAATCACTAACTCAGCTTTAGCAACAGAATAGTTGCTACTTTCATTTCTCAGTGCATTTGAAACATGGCACAAATAATGACCTTGAGTGCCCATGGAGATCAAGAGCATTCCTACACCCCAATCACATGTTCATTTTCTGCCATGACTGCTTGTCATGCATGCCCCAGATGGAGAGTAAGTGAAACAACAGGGCCTTCTAGCTTCTGAATTGGCAAAACACATTCAGCAGGGAAGTAGAGTTTCATCGTTTTGGAGAAACGGGCAACTACGCTGAAAAAGGAAGGTGGGGATAGAAATGAAGGTAGAAAAGTAAGAATTCTTACAGATCCATAAAAATCCACCTCGTGTGAGAGCATAATCTTATCTTTGTATCTTTCTTCACCCTGGTCAACAAATAGTTCAAGACTTAAACCTGGGAATAAACTTACTTGCTTTCTCGTCTCTCAGATACATGACCTTGCAGCTCAGAAAGGGCCACAACAATATACCGTTTCTCAGTCAGAGCAGCTTAACAAGCCTCAGTGAGTCTTTAACTCCTTTGGCCTAAAGATAAAAACACAGTACATTTTTGTTGTATTGAATTATCTACCTAGGCCCATGCCTCTGGCTTGATTCCTGGAAGCTCTTTGTATCTTCCAGGGTGCCTAGAGCATTGCCTAATACAATGGAGGGGTGTGCTGAGGGTGTTTTGGACTCACCAACACCAATCTCCGGAGTCCTTTCTCTACCACTACCAGTGGAATCTTCAGCTTTGTATCATGAAGCCCCTTCCTAAAGTTAAAGTACTTGCTTCGGGAGTTAAGTAATGGGCTTGTGGGGGGTGGGGGGTGCTGAAAATCCCTATGAAAACCTTTCAAGTACTTAATCACTTGTTTATCAAGGGGAGCTACAAGTCGTCCAGCAAGCAGACCACAGTGCTTTGTGTAAACCTGTCCCTCCTAGAACAGGGAAAGAGGAGACAGAAATAAGAGTGGCCGGACAACCCTGCCACAGCCTCCAAAGAATACCTCAACATTTCCTCAGGTCCTCAGTGGCAGAGTGTGTTTCACAGAATTGAAGGAGGAGGAGGATGCTCTAGAAAATGCCATCTAAACCATTTCTTTGAGAGAGAAGAAAATTAGGTTCAAACGAGTAAGCATCATGTTTAAATAAAGGACCCAGCAATGAGCACAGAAGCCATGTTCCTGAGTTTCTAGCATTCTGCTCTTTGTAATTCAACGCACTGGCTCAATTAAAAAAAAAAAAATTCTAAGCTGTCAAACAGATACTTAAAAATAGTTATAGATTAATTGAATTAATGACTAGATGGCAGTATGGAGGGTTTATAACATGTTTTCCAACTCCTCTCAGATGAAAATATTATACTACACTTGTTTAACTAAAAACAAAACTCAACTAAATATAATTTTAAGCAAAATAGCAAATGTTGGCCAAAATATCACCTGGAACTTCTCAAGTGTCACTTGAGACTTGTCAAAGAACCAGAATTGATTGCTATATTAAGTCAATTGACTAAGTTTAGCCTGCTGAAGTAGCCTTTATCCTCTTTGGTTTGCAAACAAAAATCTCATGATTTAGTATGAACAGCTAAAAATAAGTTGCAGGTTTCATTTTCCGTTGTTCAGTACGGTTTTGAAACTAAAAGGTGCAAAACTATGAGATTCACCAACGACTACGGAAAGTCAACAATTAAAATTGTCACCTTTCTAGCACATGATCCTGGTTGCCTATTCACAGCCAGGCCAGAGAAATGTGCGTTGCTGTCCCTCTCATCATGGTCTCTTGAGATGAGTCCCTCTAATAACTAAGGCACGGATGGAAGCTGGAAGCTGAGGCCAGTCCTGGGGTAGCAGTGGCTTGTGAGCGTATTGTCACATCCGGACAGGATGCTGCATAGGCTTCAGCCCATATGCTCAGCCTCGGTCTTACGTGATGCTGGGGACTCTGCAGAATCTGGGGATAAACACAGCTCAAATTTCGTTAAGATAGGGCTCCGGAGGTGGTGGGTGCAACGAGTCCCCCTGGATCTAAATGCCATGGCCTTGTGCAATTCCATAGCGCTAACCTAGGCGGCTCACAATAAACTTAATTTCAAAATTGTCTTTCCAGGGCCAAGTCTGGCAAAAAGGCGTTTGACAAAAGCGCAATGCTTCAAAGAGAAGGCAGCCCTCTCACTCTGTAGCATTCAGCTGTGGCACAAGGCCCAGAGACAGCAGCGCTGTTAAAAGAAAGCCCTCGGCTGAATGAGATTGAAAGGGGGCAAAGAAGGGTTAATATCCTTCCATTAAAGGAGGGGCCATTTGGTGAAGGTGAAGAGTATAATCTGTATGAAGAGCAGAGCAGACAAAGAGCCATTCCAGAAAAGAAATTGCTGTGCAGGGGTGAGAATGATGATTTGTCCTTGATTTTCACTGTGAGACCATTTCTTAGATCTGAATCTACCTAGCTTTGAAGCTATGGTCTCAGGAAGGGGTGAATGGGCCACATTCACATTCAGTGCTGGCATACTGGAGCTTTGATTCCATCTGAGATGGGCTGTCTGTCTCTGAGAAGCAGAGGGTGTGGCCAAAGCCAGCAGGATGTTGTAGATAGACTCCAAACTGCAAGTTAGAGGGCGGCAAAATAAACAGTAGGAGTTGCTCATAAAGGAGAAGCCAGGGGATAAATCCCCTTCCTTGGGGTGGGAAAAACCCCTGTTTTAAACATGGCTTTAAAAACTTTTAAAAAGTTTTAATACCTTTTTGTGTGTGTGTGAAAGAGCATAAGATGTACAAGAAGTTACAGTGTCTACTTTCTCCACCTTCTCCCAGTGATGTCTTAACGTAGTTATAGTACTGGGTCTAAACCAAGAAACAGATGCTGTATAGTTCAAATAAACGCAGATACAATCTTATGTGATTTTGCCAGTTTTTACATGCACTCTGTGTGTGTGTGTACCTGTATGCCTGCAGTTCTATGCAACGCTGTCACATGTACAGGCTGGAGTAATGGCCATCACCATCAGGACAGAGAATAGTCACTCCCACAGTTTTCTGTGCTCCTCCTCTGATAATCACACCTGTCCTCCAACCCTAACTCCTGGAAACCACTGATCTGTTCTCTATCACTGTCATTTTTTTTTTTTCCTTTTTGAGATAGGGCCTCACTCTGTCACCCAGGCTGGTGTGCAATGGCATAATCATGGTTCACTGCAGCCTCAAACTCCTGGGCTCAAGTGATCCTCTCATCTCAGCCTCTCAAGTAGCTGAGACCACAGGTGTGCACCACCATGCCCAGCTAATTTTTAAAATATTTGTAGAAATGGGGTCTCCTTGTGTTGCCCTGGCTAGTCGCGAACTCTTGGGTACTCCTGCCTCGGCCTCTCAAAGTGCTGGGATTACAAGCATGAGCCACCGCGCCTGGCCTACCACTGTAATTTTGTCAGTCTGAATGTTCTCTAAGTGGAATCATGTAGCATGTAACTTCTTGAGAATGGCTTTCGGCATAACGCCCTTGTGATCCAGTTGAATTGAATGTAAAGGACAAACGCCTTTTTATTGCTGAATAGTATTTCAAGGTGTGGATGTACCAGTGTGTTATCTACCAACTTGCTAAAAAAATTTGGCTATTTTCCAGTTTTTAGATATTACAAATAAAGCTGCTACAAATGTTCATGTAAAGTTTATTGTG